CTGCCCAGGCGGGTCTCGAACCTTCGGGCTCAGGCAATTCACTCACCTCAGCCTCCCAAAGGCGCGGGATTACAGGCTGAGCCATCGAGCCCAGCAAAATAAAATGTTTTAAAAAGAGTAAAATGGTTAAACAAGTCCACACCAGTATGGAATAACAGTCAAGGTCACTGTTAAGAGTAAAAAGCATGGTAGCACGCGCCTGTAATTCTGGCTCACTCAGAAGGCTGAGGTGGAAGGATTGCTGGAGCCCAGCAGGTTGACACTAGGGTGGCCGTGACTGTGCCACTGCACTCCAGCCTGGGTGACAGAGTGAGACTCCAACTCAAAAACAAAAAACAAAACAAAACAAAAACCGAGTAAAAAGCAGGTCATTGCATTGTTAAACTCTGGTGTGTCTACGTGGCTCTTTGAGCTACGGCCACCATGTTTCCTAGCTTTGGTTCCTTCCCTTACCTTGGGGAGGTGAATCTCCTCTCTCTATCTCTCTTTTTTTCTTTCTTTCTTTTTTTTTTTTTGAGTTGGAGTCTCACTCTGTCGCCCAGACTGGAGTGCAGTGGCCGCTCCCGGCCACCGCAGCCTCGACCTGCTGAACTCCTGCGATCCTTCTGCCTCAGCCTTCCAAGTAGCCGGAATTACAGTCATGCGCTACCACGCCTGGCTGATTTTTTGATTTATTGTAGAGATGAGGTCTCACCTGCCCAGGTGGGTCTCAAACCCACGGGCTCAGGCAATCCACTCACCTCAGCCTCCCAAAGGCGCGGGATTACAGGCTGAGCCACCGAGCCCAGCTTCTCTCTTTCAAATTTAGTTTTTAAATAAACTGTATTTTTCAATTAAAAAAAGAGTAAAAGGCAATTTAGAAATTACCCATGAATACACACATATGTGTAGAGGATTGCACATGCATAAAAATTCCCTGGAGTAAACAAAAAACTAATAACAGATGGTACCTATTGGAGGAATGAGAACTTAGTGAATGGAAACAAGGATGAAGGATTTTAACCTAGGATTTTCATATGGATTTTGATGTCTTAATCACAAAAAATGTATTTATTAAAAAATTTAAGGCTACACACCAAATAATAACTGAGGATCCCTCTGGGATGTGGTATTGGGTGGTGGACTGAAGAGACACTTTATGTTTTACTGAAAAATTCTAGGTTAGTAAAATATTTTACCAAAAGAATACATTTATGTATTAGTTGTGTGATTCTAAGCAGATAGA